TCCTCATCGAAGCATTTCGGCAGTGCCGGTCCTAGTCTCGCATTGTTTCTGAGAAAAAGAGCGCGCGAAAACAATTGATTACATTGAATTAATTAATTTCTCATTTTTAATAGATTGAGTTATTAGATGAGGTGATTCAGTGATTTACACATTGTAGTAATGTTAAATAGCCCTCATGTGAAGATTGTTTTATGTTTGCTTGTTCAATTTATACTACCTTTCTATTAAAATATTGCTATAACAAGTACTTTCAAAGCTAGTAAAATATTTAATTAATGTAAGGGATGTAAGATTCTTTATGTAAAATATAAGAGTAACTTTGTGTTTATTATCCAAAAGTCATTTTTCTTTCTTTTATTACGTAAAAGTCATTCAACTTTATGTTCATTACCCAAAAGTCATTTTTCTTTCTTTTGTTACACAAAAATTATTTTACTATGCTCTAGTTATCACAATAATCACTTGACCAGATTTTACAAATCATTCACCTGAAAAGTCTATTATGCCCTTTAAATCATCCCATTTATGTAATACCTTCTATATTATATGCTATATAATATACTTTTACCCAGGTATTTTATTAATAATTAAAATAACTTGATATTATTTATTTATTATTTTTATAATATATTTGTACATTTAATTTTTTCTTAGCGTTAATTTTCAAGATATTAAATTTGTCAGGTAATAACTTAATAAAATATTTTTAATGAAAACTATAAAATCAAAGCTTACTGATTTACCAGTCAAGCCATAATCATTAATCCAATAAATAAAATACCCACATTTAACACAATGACACATCAGATTAATACTTTAAAATAAATAATATTAACAGATAAAGCTTTAAAAATCTTAATATTAAATACAAATATCTTTGATTTTTTTAAATTTTTTATTGACTATAAAAAAAACTATCATTTGTTAAACAAATCTGTTTGTTATTATTTCAAATAAATATTTTTTATTATTTTGATATTTAAAATATGTTCATGTTTAAATATGATTAAACAAAGTGATTGCCATGAAAAAATTAAATGTATGAATATATTATAAAAATAATAAATAAAATAATTTAAAGTTATTTTAATTATAAGTAAAATACCTAGGTAAAATTATATTACATAGTATATTATATAGAAGGTATTATATAAATAAGAGGATTTATAAAGTCAAGGGCATAATAGTCTTTTAAGGTAAAAGTATTGTATAATGTGGCCAATGTGACTTTTGTGATAAATAGAGCAAAGTAAAATGATTTTTATGTAACAAAAAAAGAAAAATAATTTTTAGGTAACAAACACAAAGTTGAATAATTTTTACGTAACATAAACAAAAAAAATAACTTTTGTGTAATGAACACAAATTTGAATGACCACCCATAAAATTTACTAGAAATATAACATTGTATTTCAGATTAATTACTTAACTTCTCTATTGCCAAGTCGTGAAAATATATGTAATCTGACCCAACAAGGCATATTGAAAAACCGGGGAAACAACTGTGACGACTAAACTTGCCACCAGCTGAAGAAATATAGCCACGGAAAAAGACAATGAGAATCATTTAAACTGTCATCAACTTATAAGTTCCACGTTCAACTGTTCCAAAGGTCCATAAAGATTCTTGAATCCTCGGGCGCAAGGCTTTTGGGGACTTTCTAGTTTGTAAGTAAAATCGATGTCGACTTCTTGTGCTACGGCTGGGACCAAATGGTTGAATCCGACAGGTAACAGGTTAGCTGTACCTGGAAGAAGTAATCATTTCAGTAAGCTTTTTGTTCAACCTTAACCAGTTCTTGATTACTATGTGCAACTCATTGGTGTTGGGTTTTGATCTCTCTCTTTTCCCTTTTCTTTTGGTAGAAGGGGGCAGATGGGAATTAAATAGAAGGAATTTCGCTATTAATAGAATTGTTGTTACTGGTGCTTCAGTTATGCCCCCTTCTGTAGTTGCTGAATCCTCTCAAGGTCAGTTCATCACGCATTCGTACCTTTTGAATTCTTAGTATCTGTTCAGTCATCAGTGTGTGTATGTCTATTACCATTAGGATATTGCTGCTTTATTACCTTCTTTTCGGAAGGGTTGCTAACTTTTGGAAAATACTTGACAAAGAAATGATAATATAGGCTTGCAGCAATTACCATTTAAACCTGAGGGGTACAACTATTGGACATGGCGAGGCCACAAAATTCATTATGTAGAGGAAGGGGAAGGGTTTCCAGTTGTTCTGATTCACGGATTTGGTACATCCGCTTTTCATTGGAGGTAATTCTGTCTCTGTGTTTGTATGGCATTGAGTTCACAGGATTTAGTGGGATAAAGTTGACATGGTGTTCACAAGATTCAGTGGGATTATAATGTTCTTTTTTAATTGATATACTTTTGTTCTCTAACAAAATTGCAAAAGAACTCTTGGTTGTCACTCCTAAAATGGGATTTTGCTAGTATTGATCTTTATTAAGGTAAAAAAAAGGGCAGCCCGGTGCACAAAGCATCCCAAACAGCATCAGTGGCTCATTTCACGGCTCGAACCCATGATCAATTGATCTTTATTAAGGAATTCCATTTTTTATGTGATGCTCATACATTGTCCATTATATTTATTAATGCTACAAAGACAGATAATATACCAGTTGGTGTAGCTTGCATATGCAAATCTTTTTGGCGTTGTACTATTTCTTCTAATCTCCAGAAACTATTTTCTTTCCTTTTTCAGGTATAACATACCAGAGCTGGCTAAAAAATACAAGGTGTATGCTCTGGATTTGCTCGGATTTGGCTGGAGCGAGAAGGCACGAATAGACTATGATGCCTTGATTTGGAGAGACCAGGTTGTCGACTTCTTAAAGGAGATAGTTAAACAACCCACAGTTTTAGTGGGGAACGGGTGAGTTCATTTAATTAGCAACTTGCCATTGCATGAATCTCCAAGATGCACTTTAGCAGTTTTAATTCGTAGTACTGTTTCAGTAGCATATATTATTGGATTAAGTTCAATTATGATGTCTGTTGTATTATTTAACAGTCTTGGAGGATTTACTACTTTGTTAGCAGCAGCAGCACTGCCAGCTGAGCAAGTCAAGGGAGTTTCCTTATTAAATAGTGCAGGACAATTTGGGGATGACGTTACTACAACTGACAAAACTGAAGAGACAGCCTTACACAAGTTCATAGTAAGGCCAGTAGAGGAAATTTTTCAACGTGTTGTTGTCGGATTGGCATTCTGGCTAACCATGCAACCAGCTCAAATTGAAGCTCAGCTTAAGAGTGGTGTATGTTGCTTCCTAGCTAAATTTTCTTCTACCAACTTTTTAAAATGAATTTTAGTTCTTGCTTTGCTTGCATAATCAAAATATGCACAAGTGTTCTTATCTTTTAGCTTTTACACATATGTGTCTTAACTCAGAGAATCTGTAAGTAGTAATAGCTGCTAGCTCTTTTTTTGATATGGTAAACTGAGTCCAAATAGATAAGCAAACAAAAGAAGTCTTACATTTGGTAGTTGATTGATATATTGGTCCAACTAACACGAGTTCTTGCAGAAACAAAGATTTATCAGTTTTGGACAACTGAATCTTTTAATTCTTCTAAATTACTCCCTCTGACCCAATTCATCTCTCTCTTTTCATTTTTCTAAAGTCAAAAAATTTCACTTCACGTAATTCCCTCACCTTTCTAAAAGATTTGAAATTCTAAAGTTGTTTGTTGTGGTTCATGTGATCTAGGCTTTCGAACTCTAAATTCATTTCATAAAGATGACATTTAACAAACGCTGAATCTCACTCTTGGAATAGGTAAGCTGACTCTCTAAAAATTAAAAGCGACAATCATATTGAGATGGAGCAAGAAATAGTTTCTTGCCTTCTAATAATGGGTGACTGAACTTTCGCAGGATGATGCATCAGAAATGGATGCGTTGTTTTTGCATTTGCATTTCATTTGTTATTTAGCCACTGCTACTGACAATCTTCAGGAACTATTAGCAGACAGAAGAACTAACTTTCTTGATGTTTGTCTCTTGAAGGTCTATAGAAACCATTCAAATGTGGATGATTACCTCGTCAATTCAATTGCTATTCCTGCTGCTGATCCAAATGCAGAGGAAGTTTATTACCGGTATGAATGCAGCTACACCCTATAGGTTTTTCCCTACGTTTGGCAGCTAAAAGAACAATACTTTATTTCCCTTGGAAGAAGCAGAAGTAATTACTAGAAATTTCCCACGAATCAATTTGGAATATTAGTCTAAACTCTTAGCATAAATATCATCATCATTCTTATCGAAGTCCTTGGCTCTCATGATTCAGGCCTGTATGATGAATTTTTGTTTTGAACTTTAAACTGAGATTCGTCGGGCTTTATGAGTGAATGCTGAAAGAGTTGCAGATTGGTTGAAGTTCAAAGACAATGTTGAGCTACTAACATTCAGAAGTGTACAAAATAGTCTTACTACATCTGCCTTATCACGCCTTTCGCTTCATAGTTTGGGGATCATTTTGCCTAATGGTTTGATACATCAAACTTACTTCTAAGTTCCATCATTGTATATATCCTATGTAGCCTGATAAGTATGTGACCATCACCAGATTTAGGTTGTTTGTAATGTCAGTTTCTTTTGGCTTTCATTTCATGCAAAAGCTCCTACTGCTTTTTGTCTATCAAAAGTTTAGGTTAAGAAACTCAGCTGATGTTCTCTACTTTGCATTCTGCAGACTATTAAGACAACTTATGTCCAACCCTAGAAAGTATACACTTGACAGTGCACTGAGCCAACTCTCTTGCCCATTGTTGTTGTTGTGGGGTGACCTAGACCCTTGGGTCGATCATGCAAAGGCAAATCGAATTAAGGAGTTCTACCCAAACACATTCCTTGTAAACTTGCAGGCAGGGCATTACCCCCACGACGAAGTTCCAGAACTAGTGAATAAAGCTTTATCAGATTGGTTATCAACCTTGGGGTTGTCAGAACCTTCTCTTGAAACAGTGCCAGAAATTTAGCCTCATTGCTAACATATGCAACTAGGTATGTTGTTATTGAAGTGTACAGCCCTCTGACAAACAATGAAGTCAGTTTGGTTCAAAGAAGTTCTTGTGTACCCATTACTTAATAAGCCATGATAGACTGTAACATTCTCCATCAGGCAGAGTTCTATGCTTCACGAAGTTCCTACTACTGATTCTCTTCCCACTACATAATATACATCACAAGGAAAATGAACTCATTTTTTATGATGAACGATTGAAATTGGAGTTTCGGTAGTAGGATATTCAATGAACTTATTCTACCCAACAGGTCGTATATTTTGGACTATTTTGGGAACGTTCAATGCCAAAGTCACTGAATTCGTAAGTCGTTAAATCCTGAACTATGACTTTGTTAATTTCAGCGTTTCTCTTTTCCAGAAAAGACTTTTCTGCTCGCTTCAAAAGTCATTGTCACAACAGAGTCGAGCATTTTAGACTTCACCTATTGTTCTAATCAAACTGATAATGTAAAATTGAAAATTTTCTACCATATCACATTAGTAGAATATTCAAGTGTGAAAGCTGTAGATAAGTGTGTGTAACACTTTTTAATATTTTTTTATATATTCCAAAAAAGAAACTGATATACTCTGTATTTGAAAACCATCACGCAAGGAATAGTAACTTTAGTTGTTGTAAACGCCAAAGCACAGGCACTAAAGCTAAAATCGGGTCAGGCAGAAAAAAGACGTTGCCCAATTCCTTTCTCTACAACAGTCCACGGCTACAAATGAAATAACAGCCCCTGTAACCTACTACGACTCGCAAAATTCCCATTCATGGAAGCCTCTGTGAGACTACTCACTTGTTTAAATCGCCACCATCTCCCCACTTCTCTCTTCCTCAAACTCAATCACAAGCCCCTTCCTTTATCACCCTCTTCATTTCCCACCCCTTCACTTTCCTTATCTCGCAAAAACGCCCCCCACATTTTCTTATCCCATCGCTATTTCTCCTCCAATCCGTCCTTCCCACTTTCACCTCCATTTAGGTTTTCAAATCCTCCCTTCAGTACATCACAATTCTTCAATCCCTTCCTATCCAGCAATCGTTTTGCCCGTATAGTATCGGGTCCGCAAGACGGATTATTCAATTGGCATTTTGCTGCAGGCAGCGAAAAGGGTATTGAAATTGGGGTGCCGCCGAAAGAAGGCCCAATTGTGACGGTTGTGTTATTGGGTTGGCTCGGGTCAAAGCCCAAGCATTTAAGGAGGTACATTGAGTTGTATAACGCTAGGGGTATTCACGCTGTAACATTTGTTGCTTCTGTGAGAGATGTGCTTTCGTTCGATTTAGGGAAGAAATTAGAGGAGCGGATTGCTGTGCTGGCAAATGAGCTTGCTTTGTGGATGTCGGAGTCAGACAAGGATGGCCGTGAAAGATGTTTGGTTTTTCACACCTTCAGTAATACTGGCTGGCTTGCGTAGGTTGATTTATCGGACTTAAAAACTTGATTGTGTTATTTAAGCTGTTTCATTTTTTTCTTATTTGTTTTATGTGCAGTTATGGTGCTATTCTGGAGAATTTGAAAAGCAGAGAGGATTTGTTGGAAAAGATCAAGGGATGTATTGTTGATTCAGGTGGCGACCCTGATATAAGCCCCAAGGTTATTTGGTTTTCCCTCACCCCACCATCACTTAAATACTTTATAAAATATTATTCAGCTGCTTCTGATGGTATGAATTTGTTTGATCTTAAATAAGTTACATTTGTGAAGTTACGCTTTCACCATATTGTTGGACGAAGATAAATGGAACTATATTTGCTGAAAGGAAATGAAAGTTTTCTTTTCCCACTTCACGATTGTCTCCTTTGCACTATATGGTCACAAAGATACCTGAAACGTTTTTACTCTCTCCTGCCAATGAAATGACTTTTCTCAATGGGAAGTATTTATTCCAAAATGATCATCCTTTGCATTTTAGTGTCATTGATTACTTTGTACAGAATGTCTGAATTCTGCTTTCTCTGTCCGTGTTTGTGTCTCCCTGTGCTGTCTCTGTTTATGGTTTTTTTTTTCAGTTCATTAGTAATTTAGTATGGCAATTGTTGTTATGACACTGAGTCAAATGATGCTTGAGTACTAGCTGCTTTTAATTCCGGGATCATGCTCTTCACTCACATTTTAACTAGCTATAGAAATGAATATCCTGAATATGAAAGGATGTGCTGCATCCTGTGGTCATCTTTTTAGGGATTCTCAATAGAAACCCACAGATTGAGTTTTTTTAAGTGACTTGTCTCAATCACTCCTTACTGCTATAACAATGAGAATTATGCATGCAAATTTATGATATCATTAGCAGTAGGGGCATTTAACTTTTGTCAACCGCATACCCGGTAGTTAGTCTTATCTATTAGAGTTTTATACTATGAGTCCACAAATGTATTTTAATTTTCTATGTTTGTTTTTTCATATATTTCTTTGATATGTCATGCTGCTGTTGTACACTGGTGGAAATTTGCAACATAAGCATCCATCGTCAAATTTATTCCTGTTGTCATTGAAGAAGGAAGGGAATTTTTCATGCCAATTGGTAGCTACTGACAATTTTCCTTTAATCATGAATTTATTAAGCTATACCTACTACCAATTTCAAGAATTCAACAAACAGAGAGGTGAAAGGAAAGGGGGTGAATTGGAATGTGTTTCAAACTGTTGAACGGCTTTAGATAGTTATTCTGTAAATTTCAGTTTCTAAATGAGATTTCGCATCATAACCTCTTTGAGGAGTAGCAGAACGCAGAGCTCTTAAATGTTCTTTGAGATTCGATGTCCCTCTTTGCCGTTGAGGGCTCGACATTGTCTTTCTTTGACAGATCGAGCCTTTTGCTGGAAGTTTTGTCACAACTTCAGGAAATTCTATGCATATATTGCTTGACATATACTTTTTTTTTTTTTT